GCTCTAGCTATCGCCCATGTCTATCGAGGTTTCGTCTTCGCTCGCCCTCTCCCGAGCTCGCTCCATTAAGTTTCGCACAAACAAGATCTCCGCCGTCCGCCTGTAGCTCTTCCTAAAATCTGGGCATAACAATGCGACTGTTCTGCTAGGCCGGGTCTTAACTTGGGTTAGGTTAGTTGCCTTGCATATGCGGCCTTGGCTTAGCTTAGGTTAGGTTAGTTTGTACTTCAACTTTATTTGGCTCACTCAAGTTATTCGTTAACTTTAGCCCATACGTGCCTTACCTTAGGTTAGGTTAGTTGGCTTGCCCACGCGGCCTTGGCTTAGCTTAGTTAGATTATAACATTTTTCTGCTTGGCCGCTCTCGACGACGATTCAGGCGACGCAGCACACATCGCCCGCTTCCGAGGGGACGCGCACCGTGCGTGGAATGCCCCGTCCACCGCCTTCGGCTCACTCGCGTTTTTCGTTAGCTCTAGCTTTCGCCCCGCGGGCTCTCCTTGGGTTAGGTTAGTTGCCATGCCCATGCGGCCTCGGCTCAGGTTAGATTAGATTGTACCTTGTCGTACTGCAAAATGACACGTGGGCTTCGTCGCAAATACGTGACAGCCAACCACGTGTCACTGGTCGGCGCGAAACCAGCCAAGCGAGCGAGCGGAAATCATGTGGAAAATTTCGGGGCACGAGCCAATGGGCGTCGGCGACGCCCCCTTTTTGGATTGCAAGATGGCACGTGGGCTTCGTCGCCGATGAGTGACGGCCACCACGTGTCCGCGGTCGGCGCGAAACCAGCCAAGCGAGCGGGAATGCCGCGAAAAATTTCGAATCGGGGCGCAAGCCAATGGGCGGCGGCGACGCCCCCTTTTCGGATTTCAAAACGACACGTGGGCTTCGTCGCGGATGAGTGACCGCCAACCACGTGTCAGCAGTCGGCGCGAAACCAACCAAGCAAGCGAGCGGCAATCACGTAAAAGATTTTGAATCAGAGCGCGAGCCCATGGGCGGCGGCGACGCCCCTTTTTCGGATTGCAAAATGACACGTGGGATTCGTCGCGGGTGAGTGACGGCTAGAGGGCATATGTGGTTAGATCTGGTGCAAAAAGCCGATCTTGCAAAAAGCCGCCCCCCCCCCCCCCCCCGGCGGGGTGAAAATAAGTCCGACACCACGATGACACTGACGGCGCCCCCAGACCGCCGGTGTTCCGGTGCGTTGAAAAAAGAGACGATTCTGAAGCCGCCGGCGCGTAGATCTGGAGGATAATTTCAACAGATCGCAGTGAGAAACTGCTCTAGTGGGTACGACACCCCGATCTTCAACTAGGTCGTCTACAAATGATTCAGCACCTCGCCTTTGCGCAAGTTGCTTGCCTCGACTTAGGCGCAAGTCGTTCGCTTGCGCCAAAACACTCGGCTTCGTTGGCGGACGGACGGCCGCTTAACTTTGCCTCGCCGGCGGCAAGGCACCAGATTTATCGTCGCTACTTAGGCGGGATTCTGACTTCGGAGACTTTCAGTCATAATCCCCCAGATGGTAGCACAAGGGTTGCGATCATCGCGACGCTTTGTTTTAATTAAACAGTCGGATTCCCCTGGTCTTTACCAGTTCTAAGTCGGCTGTTCGACGACGGCCGAAGTAGGCCGCGAGACCCGCGCAGCTGCGGCAGTCCACGGATATGAACCGGACGCAGGTCCGAGTTCACGCCGGCCCCCGTGAAGCGGCAAGCGTTCGCCCAGTTCGGTAAAGTCCCGGTATCCGCTTTGTACCTCAGCCCGACCAACCCAGCCCTTAGAGCCCATCCTTTTCCCGAAGTTACGGATCTAATTTGCCGACTTTCCTTGCCTACATTGTTCCGTCGGCCAGAGGCTGTTCATCTTGGAGACCTGCTGCGGATATGGGTACGGCCTCGCACGACAACTACACCATCTCCCTCGGATTTTCAAGGGCAAACGCGGGTTCACCGGACACCGCAAGAGACGCGTTGCTTTACTCCGGACAAACAGATTCCAGGGCCTGCGCTCCTTACAAAGAAAAGAGAACTCTTCACGGGACCCACGTCAGCGTCTCCGAGTTCGGTTGCGTTGCCGCGCCGGGCGCCGAATAGCCAATCTTTGTGTCGAGGCTCGAAAATATCAACCAGATTCCGGGGGCGAAAACGCGAAAGGCTCCAGTCGAACTGCGGTTGGTGTTTCCTTAGGGAAGACTGACCCATGTTCAACTGCTATTCACATAGAACCCTTCTTCTCTTCGATCTTCAAAGCTCTCATTCGAATATTTTGCTACTACCACCAAGATCTACACCAACGGCTGCTCCACTTCGACGCGTGAGCTCTCGTTCGACGCAAGAGCGCTCGCCGCCGCGGCCTTCCGTGGAACGGCCCGTATCGTTGCAACGTTACGGCGTTCGGATCATCCCGCATCGCCAGTCCTGCTTACCAAAAGTGGCCCACTGGTCACTCGCATTCGAGGCGCCCGACTCCAATTAGGCGAGCCGGGGTTCTTACCCATTTAAAGTTTGAGAATAGGTTGAGGACGTTTCGTCCCCAAGGCCTTTAATCTTTCGTTTCACCAGTTAAACTGCGACAAGGCGCCAATCTTTGTGTCGAGGCTCGAAAATATCAACCAGATTCCGGGGGCGAAAACGCGAAAGGCTCCAGTCGAACTGCGGTTGGTGTTTCCTTAGGGAAGACTGCCCAATGTTCAACTGCTATTCACATAGAACCCTTCTTCTCTTCGATCTTCAAAGCTCTCATTCGAATATTTTGCTACTACCACCAAGATCTACACCAACGGCTGCTCCACTTCGACGCGTGAGCTCTCGTTCGACGCAAGAGCGCTCGCCGCCGCGGCCTTCCGTGGAACGGCCCGTATCGTTGCAACGTTACGGCGTTCGGATCATCCCGCATCGCCAGTCCTGCTTACCAAAAGTGGCCCACTGGTCACTCGCATTCGAGGCGCCCGACTCCAATTAGGCGAGCCGGGGTTCTTACCCATTTAAAGTTTGAGAATAGTTGAGGACGTTTCGTCCCCAAGGCCTCTAATCTTTCGTTTCACCAGTTAAACTGCGACAAGGCGCCAGCTATCCTGAATGAAACTTTGAAAGGAACAAACTACTAGATAGTTTAATTAGTTTTTCGCCCCTATACCCGAATAGAACAATCGATTTGTACGTCAGAAGCGCTACAGTACTCCACCAGGGTTTCCTCTGGCTTCGACTTTCCCAGGCATAATTCACCATCTTTCGGGTCCAAACATAGACGCTCTCGCGCGACCGCCCCGGCAGAGCGGGTGCAATATGCCGGTCGTGCGTCGGCGCCCGCGCGGGGCTCCGGGTCCGACCTTGTTCGGCCAGCGGCCGCCTTCACTTTCATTTCGCCTGCGAGTCTCGAACCACTCGCGCTCATGTTAGGCTCCTTGGTCCGTGTTTCGAGACGGGTCGGGAGGGTGGCCGACGTGGCCACTAACCCCGAGCGCGTCGAAGGCGCGCCACCGAAGCGGCAGCACGCCGAACACCGGCACTGCGTACAGTGGGGTACACCGAGGTCCTATTCCATTATTCCATGCAACACCATGCAGGCGAACAGCCTGCTTCGAACACTCAATTTTTTTGAAGGAAACCTATCGGCCAACGCTGTCACTCAGTCATGAGCACCGACGGAGAACCGAAGGTGAGGCGAACGCAATCAGTGACACGCCTCGCGACGGACCGACGGCGCTTGCCCAGAATCCAACTAAGAGTTTTTAAACCGCAACAACTTTAGCATATATTGTTGGAGCTGGAATTACCGCGGCTGCTGGCACCAGACTCTTCCTCCAATGGATACTCGTTATGAGTTTCAGAATGTACTCATTCCAATTACAGGGTCTCGTTAGAGTCCTGTATTGTTATTTTTCGTCACTACTTCCCCGTGCCGAGAATGGGTAACTTACGCGCCTGCTGCCTTCCTTGGATGTGGTAGCCGTTTATCAGGCCCCCCTTCCGGAATCGAACCCTGACTCCTCGTTACCCGTTATCACAAAGATAGGCACGCAGCGTACCTTCGACAGTTGATAGGGCAGACACTTGAATGATACGTCGTCGGTGCAGAGACTGTACAATCCGCGTGGGTATCCAGAGTCATCAAACGTCACAGGACAAACCCGGTCCATTTTATCTGATAAAAACACGCCGACGCGCCTCGTGCGCGGAATGCCCCGCACGCCGCCCTCGGCTCACTCGAGTTGTTCGTTAGCTCTAGCTTTTGCCCCTGCTGGCCTTAACTTGGGTTAGGTTCGTTATTAACATGCGGCCTCGGCTCAGGTTAGTTTGTACTTTGCTCACTCAAGTTGTGCGTTAGCTTTAGCTCATACGGGCCTTACCTTAGCTTAGTAAAATAACATTTTTCGTCTCGACAGCTCTCGACGACAATGCTGCCGACGCAGCATTCTCTCGCCCGCCGCTAAGGGGATGGGGGGAGGGGGGCCTCCTGCGTGGAATGCCCCGCCCGCCGCCCTCTGCTCACCCGAGTTGTTCGTTAGCTCTAGCACTTGCGGGCCTTACCTTAGGTTAGGTTAGTTGCCTTGTTCATACGGCTTCGGCTTAGCTTAGGTTATAACATTCTTCCGCTCGGACGCTCTCGATGACACAGCACACTCTAGTCCGCCGCCGAGAGGCGCGCCCCGTGCGTGGAACTCCCCGTCCGCCGCCCTCGGCTCACTCGAGTTGTTCGTTATCTCTAGCTTCTGTCCATGTAGGCCTTACCTTGGGTTAGGTTAGTTGCCCTGCCCATGCGGCCTCGGCTAAGGTTAGGTCAGTTTGTACCTTGTCGTATTGCGAAATGACACGTGGGCTTCGTCGCGGATGAGTGACGGCCAACCACGTGTCAGCGGTCGGCGCGAAACGTAGTTAGATCATCCATCCAACTACGTTTGTCTTTCTTCTTTCCTTGTCACAATGAAATACTTTATATCATCGAAGCATGTTCAGATGTCGCAATAAAATGTCATTGCTATTTCTAACCAAAATAAATATATTTCTAGTCACCCGTACCAGGTAAGATTAATTAAGAGGTGTATCTTCAGTGAATAAATGAATGATTCACAATATTTTGTATTTAGACATCGAGATCCAGCGGCCAACATCAGGACGAGAAATATATATGCCTGAGGAGAAATCAAGTTTAGCGAAATTGCCAAAAATTTAATAATTAGCTAATGAAATTTGACATTTTACTTTTACGTATTTCCCCAAACTACATACCATAAAAACAAAAGACTTCAAAATCGAGCTTGTGTAACTTGGTTACTGATATTCCCGTGATCTCTATAAAATTTGCTAAAGTTCATGTTTGAACGTGTCAAACTGACAATCCTCCTGAACAAGTAAATAATAAATCACTATTTGAATTCATAAATTCTATTTCCGAACTAAATTATATCTTTAAGAAAAAGATGAAAAGCACCCAGAAGCGGCCTCAGAAACTCGCTACACCCTTATATACATTACGGAAACAAGCACTATGTTATCAATATTACCCTATTTTAGAAAACTTTCTATCGGTACATATTTTTTTGCATATTTATATCTTTTTTCATACAAAATATGTTTTGTTCTTCTTAGCAAACGTTTAAGTGGTTGTGTAATATATATAGATTAGCGATGTTAGGGATTAGTTTTTGTTAATGGTTCTTCTTCAGCATCTCGAGTTTTAGTAAACTTTGTTGCTATTTTGGATCTTCTGTAGTTAGACGTTGTGCACGCGAGAAGCAGAACTGATAATCCATTAGCTATTATGGGAACAAAAACTGCAAACGTTTCGTTATATCGTTCCATGAGAAATCGTTCCAAAGATACCATGATGACTGTAACCAGTTGCGACGGAATATTGTATAAAGCCATAACAACAACATTGTTTGTAGGATATGTTACCTCCAAAAGATATTCGCCAAGACAAACAGCTGTAGTTCCTCGTATTCCAGTTACCACAATGTAAAATATCGCGACTGTATAAATTTCTTTGAACAGATGACCAAAGTATACAGACACAGAAGAAACGAATATACCCGTCAATACTGTAAACAAAATATAGGCCATGATTACAATGCGTTTCAATTATAACCTGAGTCATCATAATCTTAATATACCATGTATTGTAAACAACAAAAACGCTAAATTATATATATCTATATTTGACAAATGGAATATCAACATCATACTCTTAAAATGCCTAAAACAATTTTTTTAAATTTAAAAAGTGAGGGACAAATCATATAAAGTAATAGTTTACTTGCCCGCAATGCACATTCCTTTGTAGTGTCCGTATTTGTCTAGGTACCTTCCCACTAGTATAGATAGAATAGATGCTAAAATTGTTCCCATTGTTCTTACATTTCCACCGAACTGATCCGACAAATCAGGAAAAGTCCGTAAAAGCATTGACGATACAAGAATGATTGTCAAACCAAAAACTGAAAACTGAAAACCTCTAACAATAGTAATTATCGCAAAATCTGAGTTTAAACATAAATTTCGAACAACTGTAAGATTTCTGATGATGTCGATAGTTTGCATACTGTTTACTCTTTCGCTTTCCAGCAGCGTCTGTTGAGATGCAGATGGGGGAGAAGGTGGGTGATCGGCAATGTACAGCCATCCAACTACAAGTGAGAATAATAACAGGACAAATATAAGACCAAAACTCGTAAAATATGTGTTTCGTATTGTGGCCAATTTCAGGAAGGCAACAGTGGCATCTGAAGTGTTTTGCAGCACATAAGGAAAATAGAGTGCAGATAATGTACCACCTAGATTGTCTGCCGTCCAAGCAATTCCAATAGCTGTTGCTCTTTCGTTTGCAGGAAACCATGAAGCTGCTAACTCAAATACAAGAAGATAGAATATGGAGCCTGATATCCCAATTAACGCCTGACCCATCAAAACCATCCAGTAAAAGTTTCTGTAAATAACGAAGATATTTAGGTAGTATACACAAACTAGTTAGTTTTGTTAGTTCCAAATTTGATCGTCTAATATTATTGTGCAGAATTTTCTATTTGTAATCTAGTCCATAGCAAGAAATTTAAAACGTGTGAGAGAGACAAAGGTTCAATGACCTGAGGAAACGTTATTTGTAAGTAAATGGATATCGGTTTTTATATTTTGTATATTTGAAGATTTCGTAATTCTCTACTTTGTAATTTTGTTTTTGATAAATGAAAATAAAAGACATCCCTCAACAATAAGCCCTAGTGGAATTCATCAGAAGAATAATGAAATAAGACCCTGTCTTATTTTCGGGGAAACACGATAGTTGTCTATATTTAAAAAACAATTTGAAAACAACTTTTAATATTGTATAATTGACAATATTATGTAGTTCATATTATAAAGTACTACGATCAATGGGAACATGCGACGCATGCATGGCTTTTCTTTGATTTGAACCAACTTTAGATCATTATATGTTGTTGAAAAAAAACTTTTTTCTGCAAATACTGACCTAGACATAAATCCAATTATGTCTGCTCCTATTCCGATCACCGCTGCAAAGAGACCATATAAGAACAAAGAACGGACTCCTGTGATTCTTCCAGTTACAACAACAATAAATGGAGCGATGGTACTGAAAATATCGCTTATGATACCAAGTATATCTACTTCGTATGCACCGATTTTAAAATAATACGAAACAACGTTGTTAATGATTCCATACGATAAAGTGGTAAACTGGTGATTGAACATTCCTATCCACAAAATTGTCAGCCAGGCCCATCTTATAGGATACGCTTTGTATTCCATCTTGACAACAGCAGTAATTCCAACTATTGATTTAGCACGCGTTCTTGCGATATATTATATTATATTTTTTTCAACGTCGCGTTAAAGAGTTTCGTTAATAATTTGTCAACAGTGAATCGGAAGTAATTAATAAGTTTGTATAACGGTCATTACACCGACGTTTGTAAGACGAGCTTTGCGTACAATGTTTCTCTACTGTCAATCAGGGTTGAAATCCATGAGCTCCGCATAATATGTAATTTCAAAACAAAATGAAAGCGAATTGCTCGCTATCGTCTGGCTCGCATAAAACGACAAACCACGATCAACTCTATAAAGCAGACTGCCCGAGAAACCACGATTGTTCTTACGTGGACGAATGTCTTCAATCAATTCAAAAAGTTTTACAAATAATCCTTTGATCAGGCTCAATAGAAAGAGGTTTGATGCTCTTTGTTCGGAGTATTTTATATAAGCGTTTTCTGTGTGCAGTTTTGATGAGAAGTATTATCTCCAGTAGAGATCACTCATGGGCTGAGCTAACAGATAAGCACTGTTGTAGCACAACACTCGTATTAGGTATCTGGGCTTTATTCAAATAAATACCCAAATGACAGATGTAAACAGTAAACTACTAGAAAGATACCATACAAATTATAAGGGAAAACAGTTCAGAGTTGCATCTCGTTTTTTTCAAGCTTTAAATTTTTTCTTTCGCGGTAGGATTGATTAAACATGAACAAACGCTTTTCGATCAGTTACATTAAATTTTGTGACTTCATTTCCCAACTGCTTCCATTATATCAGATACTGCTTTTCTTCAGTGGAAGATGATGTTTAAAAAAAAGGTAACAGGACAGTCGTAACTTAAGTTTGGTTCATTAGGCCTATTCGCAAAAAATGCATTTATAGAGACACCTAAGTCCGGGTCATGTGACCCCGTGACGCGCTTGCCACGTTTTGGTTTTTATGATTTACAAGATGCGACTCGACTTCGGTCTCTGCGACGACGTGTACCTCAACCAGCTTCAACCTACCAAGTGCTGCTTTATCGTCTATTTTTTATACTGATTTATCATCACTGTTTTAATGATTACACAACAAGGACTCTATACGTTTATTAGATACTAGAAGTGGACAGTGATAAGGAAGCCAGCCTCGACGCGCAGGAGTCGTAGAGAAACTAACTACGCCCTCTACACACGAGTTCCGCAGGATTCCAGTTCCATACTAGGCTTCAATTCACTAGAACATCACCAACGCCGTAACGCAGTACACGAATGATGAAGCTCCAACAAAACATGACACAAATAAATGCATGTCAAGTATGACTCGACAGATAAAATCCTGTTGCCAGCAAACAGATACAACAAAGTTAAGACTATCAGAATAATCAATATTAATGCGCAATTGCAAAAGATGTATCATTTTCCTTACTGCAAGCAAACGCGAATTTGGTAGGAAATATCAACATCGCTTTTTAGAATTGGAGACAATCTATATATAAAACATAGTTTTCTTGTCCGCAATTTCAATTACGCAATGTACATTCCGTTCCAGTGTCTATATCTGTTCAGAAATCTTCCCACTATAGATGAAATGGACGCTAACATTGATCCCATGTTACTTGTATTTCCCCCGAACCGATTCGACATATCAGGAAAAGTGCGTAAAAGCATTTACGATACAAGAATAGTTGTCAAACCGAAGCCTGAAAACTGAAAATTTCAAAGAATTGTTTGTATCGGAAAAAGTGAGTCTGAACATAAATTTCGAAACTTCCACATTTCTAATGATTTTTATAGTTTTCATACAGCCTTTTCTTTATCTTCCATTACTGCCTGTTGAGATGCCGAGGAAGATTAGGTGGGTGATCGGTAATGTACAGCCATTCAATCACAAGTGAGAATAACAGGGCGAATGCAAGACCAAAACTGATAAAAGTTTGTATTGTAGCCAGAAAGACAACAGTGACTCAAATACTAGACGATAAAATATGGATCCTGATTTTCCAACGAACGTTTGACTTATCAAAATCACCCCGTAAAAGTCTCTGTGCATGTGAATCAGAAATATTTTACCTAGTCTACACAAATTAGTTTTGTTACTTTAAAAACCGATCCATTGTAACAGAACAATTCGAAAAGTTTATTCCTCATACATCTTTATGTCAAATATATATTCTTCCCACTGTTCCAAACTTTGTTAAGTATATTCGAAAATATGATATGTCGAAATCCATTCCGAAAAAATGGTAATCAAATTAACACTATTATGTAGTTAGCAAAATATGAATGTATTACAACGACGGAAAATATGTGATGTATGCTTTTTGGAACTTGTCAAAAATAGACTTTGTCTTACAAAAATATTTGAATAAAAGTAAATTAATAATCCGAATTGTCAGCCATCTCCATCTTATTGGATACACTTTGTATTCCATCTTGATAACAGCCTTGAAATCCTACTTAATGGTGGAGATAGCCGTTCGTGCGACATGAGAATGTTGCCACCTCATATTTCCCTTATTTCTATCGTCGCATCATTAGGTCAATAATTTGTCAATAGTCTGTCGGAAAACATCGTCTATCGGAGTGTTTGCACCAAAGGATATACACTGATATTAAAAGCGTAACAGCACTGCTATAAATATTACCAACCAATCGCTTTCCTACATTCAGTTGTTGTGAATGAAAGTATCACTCTTTTCAATTTTGTTGTCTTTTGTATCAAACTTTCGCTGATTTTGAACAAAACATACCACCGCCTGATGATCGGCGACTGATCAGTATAAATCACAACAACATAAAAGAAATGATAACATGCAAGAATTCAAACATATTTTAAAAAGTGCCAATATCTGAATTGGAAATAAGTTTCATAAGCTGCCTACGTGTGGGGTGGTATGCTATACGAGGTCCCTGCTGATTAAATATATACAATCCTCTTCTATTATAATTGATAGATGCGCAATGCACTTTTATTAAAATAAGCATAGTTTATTAACTGTTCTGTAAGTATGATATGAAAATTCTGTTTCAGATATTCTCCTGTTTCAGATATTCTCTATAATCTTTGTTTAGTAGCAACTCTAGCTATAATATATTTTCAACCTGATATTCCCCAAATGTTTGCACGTGTATTTCTATTCTGACATCGCAACAAGAAATTTTACGCACAAACTCATAATATTGTAAATACAGAAAATTTGGTTCAAAATTCGAATCAACATGAAAAGTGCATAATTGGTCTATGCAGGGGTAAATGGTCGGAAAATTACGTAGCAAACAAACTCTGTTGTTCTGTTAACTTTATGAATTCAATATAAAAAAAAAAGATTTTTAAAAGAAATATCAATAAAAAAAAAGTCAGGCAGTTGAATTTTCTTATTTTTTCACTATATATTTTGCATAGATAACCAAGATTTTAATTCTGGCTCGTTCCTGTCGCGCCACCTAATATTTGTTGTTGTCTTCTCTATAGCTTGATCAACCGCCCTTGCAGCAGTTTCAAGATTTGAATTATATTGTTGGACACGTAGTGGACATAACGATCGTTTTGTTGTTATGTTGTTCTTGTCTTTGACAATTTTGGACACCTAGTGAAAATATTAAAAAAACGCTTTTCTCTTTGATCACTGGACCAATTGCTTTAAAATTTTTAGTGGTTAAAGATGAAATTTTTATCCAGAAGGCTATTACTTTTATTTATTTCAAATATTACTGTTAGCTCAGTGAGAATTTTTTTGTTTGCTATGACGTCACTGAACGTTCTGCGGACTCATATGCAGGCACTCCTCTTTTTAATCACGTGCCATCGAACTTTGGCGTGAGGGCGGATTCTGGAGTCGCTGCTACTCAAAAAAGGTTTTCGTGGTTACCGGTGAATGGCAGTGATGCTAAAGGTACGGTAGACCGTACTGTACTGCTTCGCTTGGTGTGAATATATTTGTAGACTGTGGTCTAGAGGTACGGTAAACCGTACTTCACTGCTTCGCTTGGTGTGAATATATTTGTAGACTGTGGTCTAATGGTACGGTAAACCGTACCGGTACTGTACTGCTTCGCTTGGTGTGAATATATTTGTAGACTGTGGTCGAAAAGCTTCGCTTGGTGTGAATATACTTGTAGACTGTGGCATCTGCTGTTATAATACCGTGATAAATCGAATAAGTTGGTTTTGCAAAGAAGAAGCGTCTGGCATTACAGGTAGGAGGGGGAATAGGGGGGTGCGCATTTCCAATACGTCGATAATATCTTTGTCAGCCAATTTGCGACCACAGTGTTTTTGTCTGTTTAAAACCTGCTTTCATCTGACAGGAACATTTGTGATATTTCAGACGTTTTGTGTAAACCATGAGGTCTGGAATGTTTGTTATGGTCTTGTTTGGAAGAATAGCTCATTTCCTACTCAGCAATATAAGAATGAACTGACATTCGGAAGTAATAAAATATCGCTTACATTTCACGCGTGTACTTCCCGCTGCGATAGAAAAACGTCGCACAAAAAGAAAATAATTCAATAAACCTTGGCGTTGCGCGCTAACCAATAACAAAAGCTAGTATGATAAGGTCTTATTTTGAAGGTCATTTTATATGCTACATAACATAGTAGAGTGGCCATCTCACAACGTCGGGAAGTTATAAAAATATCGAGTCGTTTGATCGCAGCTGCCTCACCGAAAAAAAGTTAGTTCACATAAGCGTTTTATCTCGCAAATTCTGCTTGTCTCACGATTATAAGCTTTTATGATTCATAATAAATGTTTTATTATAGCTCACAAAAGCTTTCAACGCGATAAAGCACAAACAAACAACCGATCGATCGATCAAGCTTAGCCTGGCCTGATTCGACGTGGTGACTTCTCAAACGGAAAATTTCCAAAACGCTTGAACGACTTGCGCTATCGAAAAGCGTTTAGTATCATATCAAAGAGGAAACCAATGTGCAGTCAACTGTATAGTCACATTTGAGCTTTACAAGAGCTATACACGTCCAACAGCTGATAGAATGAGAGAGTGGAAATATTTTTGTTATTTTTCGACGTTACGAGAGACCACACGAAACACGGATTTCAATTTACGGTCCTCCAGTGACATATATCGTATAGTACTCTAAAAGACCTTTCCAATGATATATAATTATTGTATATTGGGTGAATTTTGGGGGTCCTATGACATGAATAAAAATGGGTATACAAAATTGGGCTCGATTGGGAGTCTAAAACAGGTGTTGCTGTGATGTGGTGCTTTGTTTATAATTTGACGAGTTTTGTTCGAAATAACCATGTTCTTAAAATATATGACGGTCAGAAATGCAATTAGAAGCCCAGATAGAGAAGTTCTGGTACCGTAACACAGCGCGATGAAACTGAACTAACTTGTAGCTGTCAAAAGCTTCAAAATCCATACAAATATAAGAGATAAAAAGATGAAACTTAGCAGGTGGGTAGAGTTGTGTTTCTTTTAACCACCTTTGAAGGTTTCGCGTTTCTACATTTAAAGGAGGGAAAATAGGTGGGTGCGCATTTCCAATACGTCGATAATATCTTTGTCAACCAATTTGCGACAACCGTGTTTTTGTCTGTTTGATTGCTGTGATGTGGTGCTTTGTTTATAATTTGACGAGTTTTGTTCGAAATAACCATGTTCTTAAAATATATGACGGTCAGAAATGCAATTAGAAGCCCAATGTTTTCAAAGATAGAGAGGTTCTGGTACCGTAACACAGCGCGGTGACACTGAACTAACTCGTAGCTGTCAAAAGCTTGAAAATCCATACAAATATAAGAGATAAAAAGATAAAACTTGGCAGGTGAGTAGAGTTGTGTTTCTTTTAACCATCTTTGAAGGTTTCGCGTTTTTACAATTAAGGGAGGGGTAATAGGTGGGTGCGCATTTCCAATACGTCGATAATATCTTTGTCAACCAATTTGCCACCACCGTGTTTTTGTCTGTTTGATTGCTGTGATGTGGTGCTTTGATTATACAGGTACTGGTAAGTCACCGCATATGATTTTTGGGGGAATTGTTCTGCGTGTCCATATATTTGGGCATTCCTCTCTTGTTTAAAATTGATAAGCTACAATAATTTAGTGAGTAAAAACTGCATTAATTGATATATAGAGATATAGAACAAGTTCGGATTGTTATCAATTATTAATTGTATCAATTTTCTCTACTTTCATATTAGTCATGGCATGACACTATATTGTTCGAGAATTTAGATTTCTGATTTTTTGAATGCAATTTCTTTTTTTTTTTAAATAACTATGAATACAGAGTTGTTATTTGGAAGAAGAATAAAACTGCAGTATTCGCGGGAAAAAACTTTGTCGAAGAATGGGTTTTATTGAATTATAATTTTCCCAAATAGATCGTGCTTTTTACCACCTTTTTGTTACATTTCTACTCACAAAATTCAGGTCGTATTCAGTCGAAAATCTTTACGTGACAGACTCTATCAATGTTTTGAATACTATTCCACCTCCATAGCTGTATTGAAACAAATGATTAAGTGAAATAATATGTAGCACAATTTTTCTTTAGTTGCAAATTGTGGCATAGCCATGAATGTTGGTATTGTTATGCAAACAAAACAAATTTAGAAAAAAAACAAGGAATAATATTCTTATTTCTTACATATCAACTAAATCATTTCACGATTCTACCATAAAAGACCACACAACATATCTACCGTACTCTTCTTCTGCCATGTAACCGAGGCAGGAACGAATGCTATCTTGTTCACGAATCAAGTTGGGGTCTACGCAATATTTCGTATATTTTGATAAAATCCAAGATTCTTTACTGCATGCCATGCCGTAACTTTGACAAAATAATTAAGAATAGCACTAGAGGCAAAAATATTAGTGGGCTACCCATTCCTAGCCACCAAGCCATTTCGTAACTTAACAGGTTAGTTAAAATTTGTATATATATTATGTGTGTGCATTCACATAACGACGCTCAACATATGACCTACCGCAAAGTTCATTAGCTGCCTATATAAATCGAAATGGCTAAAAGTTCTACGACACCTTAAGTATAACAGTAAGGTTTTCTATATTTAATAAGTTTGGAAGTTTTGTTTTTGGATGAACATGTGACGAGATTGTTGTTCACTTTAAAAATCGGCAACAGAGAGTAAAATTTCTTGCCTCAAATCGTCTTGCTCCTGTGCATTGGTGGATACGTGATGTTGTTCCCAACTAAACTGCCACTCTTTTTCACCCCCATCGCGGATTGCTGCACAAAAGTCATCTCTGCGATAAGTGTTACTTATTATACTGTGTAAAAATGAATTTTGTAATTTAATTTATTTTTTTATTAATATTACGACAATCTGATTTACAGGAAGTGAGTGTAGAACATTTGCTTGCAAGCTTTATCTCGAATTTTATCCTGTCTCACCTTTTATTAGTTCGATCATCCATCCACATCCTATATAATGCCGTCGCGTTTGCGGCTTTAATGCCTGTCTGTCTTGTCATTCTGAATTAAAGGAGTTGCTTTTAAAAATGACAATTATACTGTCTTACATATGTTGTATTAACATGAATTATTGTAGCAGAACCGGCTGAAAAATATGCGATGAAACCGGCTGACAGAAAAATTAGAATTCCACCACTGCTTACCACTGACAAGGCGATGTTATATAATTGAATCATGTAAAGGCAGCATGCGTGGGGAGTGCAGGTACTTGATATACATACACAGACACAAATATACATATACAGCTAAATCATATACATATAGAGACAACCAAATTAGCATAAACAGCCAATGTCATATGCATATATATATAGCCAAATCAATATAAAAAAACAATGATATATGCATATATACATATGCAGCCATTCAAGTAATGTACATACAAACCCAATGTCATATGTATGCATAGTTTACTCAACATACATATACAAACATTTAATTGATGCACATACAAAAATGTTATATGCATACGCTGTCAACTCAATATACATACATATCGATTCAGGTGGTGTAGGCTACATACAAAATGTCATATGCATATATAGCCAAATCAATACATAACAGTCAATTTCATATGCATATACATGCAACTCAATATACATATAATTCTATTTAAGTTATGTACATACACAGACAATGTCATATGCATATATAGACAACTCAATATACTTATACAGCCATGTAAGTAATGTGCATACTAAAATATGAGTCGATGCGATATGAAGCCAACTCATTATACGTATACAGCCATTCTCTCAATGTACATACACTGCCAATGGATTTTATAAGCTACATGGTACGTGCGCATTAGGATATATAAAGATCAGCCGCAGTAGTCTAACTTACCTTATACACTATCTTATCTACAATACGGTATGGTCAAAAAACTCCCGATTTTTGCGTAGCACGAAAGAGGTCGCAAAATCGCTACAAATAATTTTTATTAATTTTGAAGAGGTCCTCACACAAAATTTTGAAGAGTAAAAACGAATCACATACAGCCCACAAAAAGGTCTGGAATTGATAAAAGTAATAGACTTCTAGTAAAAAATACAATCTTTAACACTGAAAATTTCAAAGCAATTGGTCCCGTAGGTAATGAGAAAAGCGATTTTTTCATAACGATACAAAGAAAAATCCCAACAAGAACAACAACAACATAATAACAAAACGATACAAAGGTACACTTAGTGTTTAACAAGAACAACAACAACCACATAATAGCAAATCCATATGTACATTTTTATGTCCAATAATCTGGCAATGTTTTAAATTAAACAAAATGCGATGTGAGTAATGATAGTTTGCACCAAACTCTATTTGATTAGTTCGCCGACAGCTTACCAATGTCGTTGTTTTTCAAGCACATTTCTGCTGTAATCCATTACCTTGAGCGCTTTTAACGCACTCATTATATGAGCTATTAGCTGTTTTGGGTCTTGTCACAGCATATGCATGCGTATGAAACTATGGCTGTGTTTGTGCATCACCCAAATGGCTGTACAAATATATTGGGTTGGCGGTTGATGCATATCTTTGTCTGTATATGTATGGCATATTACCAAGCCTATCGAGTATGTATGGTCTTCAATGACGATATAGAGTACGGAAGGTACAAACAAAGAACAACATCTGACACTTTGTTTGTTTTACAGACAGGTGACCATTGCAGTAATAAAGAACAAAAATGTTAAACTACACCTCTCAAAAAGAGCATCATCGTTTTTATTCTCTTCGTCCCATCCATAGTAATCGTACAGAGTTGGTTCGACAAGTTTCAACAAGTAGGTCTGTTTTTATTTTAAAATTTATTAATTAAAATCATTGTTAATATTAAGCTACCACACAATTGTTATCAAAGATAATGAAAAAACAATGGCATGTCAAAACAGGACAAACGGAGTGTGATGAATAGATAAAATAATGGCGGGAAGATTCGACCTGTTGCTATGAGCTGTACACTGTTAAATCTTAATATGTAAATCAAAGTCACGGCGCACATTATTATATTGAAATATAGATGCTGTTATTGGTTGAACCACCATACACAGTCTGCTTTTTCTAGTGTAACCATGGGCTGATTAAGTAGGCGTTTGACGAGTCCGTCTTATTTCAAGGGATATCTAATTGACAAAACAGGTTATATTAAACACCTGAAATAAAAACATCGGCAATTTCGGGTTACATGCTTTACGTATGCCATATAGCACGAATTGCCCACCCCACAGTCTTACAAGACAGATTTCGGAATTGCACGATCAAAATAAAGAAATGAATGTAGGGTAACCTTGAACATTCAATACAAAGATGAACGACTCAGCAGATATTCCATGTATTTAGCGGAGGCTAGAAAACTATTCCATGGCACATATTCTTGCTCATTTGATAAATACATTGATAACTCCATTGCGGTTGTTAAGTCCAGACGTTCAGCTCTGAAATATTGTGAATGAAATTCATTTCTTATTCGCTGTTTTGAACTCGAACATCATTACCTAATGTTGGTATATTTTGTTATTACATTCACTGACGTACTGACCAAGAAAAATTTCAGCAATCTGACCAGCTTCAATAATCTAAATATACATCGCGTAATTGTGGCTTCACACTAATTAAATATACTGATTACAATATATAATTGTACTTGATGAGCCTAATAATTGATTACTTATTTACCGACGGGGATGAGATGAGGCACCCCACCCTGTTGTCACTGTCAGTCGACAAAGAGTTCTTAATTTGTGACGTAAGCTAGTTTCAGGTGTTTGAAAAGGCATAACCTGGGAATCTGTTTTGGCATTATCAACGTATCATCACAAGCTAGGTGACAGCTCGACTAAGCGCGTAGTGTTTGTATTTAGTCTAATAAGTAGGATTTGACTTTAGTCTAGCTTGATAGAACAATAAAGGGTGTTAGCAGCAATAATACCTTATCGTTATAGGATGAGAATATTTAAATAGGCCTGATGTGATTTTTTGAATTTCAAAAACTTACCTTGCCAAATTAAAAGCATCATTCAATAACTGCGCTCTGGTTTTTGACAAAATGTCCTAGAAAATAATTGGGAAAGAAATAAAATTCCGCCCTGATAAATTTAAATAATTTATTTCCTCTTTCATAATACGGTTATTGCAACATATCCACTACTTGCTTGGTTGGAAACCCCGGAATTAAATTATTTGTTTCTGTAAATTAGTTTTATTCTGATTGCATCTACTTTCACTACTAAGTGTTACATGAAAATAGATTGTGGTTATCTAAATCTTAATGCAGGTAGCCTATAATGATATGTTCCTGTACATATAAATCAATATATTGATCTTTGATTAGCTTCAGTAGTGGCTTGTAACTATTATTCAGGTGTCCTATTGGCATTTATGCAAGGTTTTGATTTCACGCTAGAAAATAGTTCATAGAAACATAAATATATTGAGATTATATACCTGGAATAACTTTGGTTTGAGTTTAGTCGTTAGTTTCGACCATGTTTCTCTGTCATAATTTACTCTGTAATAACCCATAGCATCGATGTTTGCTAACAAGTAATATTCCTCTTCTACGGTCACTTAAAAAAGTTTGCAAAAGGTTGCTTTCTTCCTTCGGTATTTAATGAATGTAAATTTTACAATCCATAAAATTTGACTCTAGTGAAGCATAAATATGTGTGTCGGGTATTTTAACTCAGTATTTCCCACACGTTCCAAGTTAATCACGTGTTTCTATTTTCGTAGGACCTTTAGCAATAGTTCTCAAGCTAATTCATTATTTCGGAGATATTCTAAATAAGTCTAGTTCCCACTAAGTCTAGTTCCTACTACTGCGTTTGTTGAGTATTGTATTCGATTTATTTTTTCGACTTACGTCTTTCCCATGTTGAAAGAGATCCAAGTGTGTTGCTGTAATTCTGGGTGAAACAATGTATTTTGTCACATAATGAATCGAAACGAGTTGAATGATTTTGTAAATATCGAATTCTCTTTGTAACAAATAGCAATAAATATTATACAAAGTGAATTTGTGAATGATTGTAAATGACCTTGTTGTTTGTTTTTGATGGAAACTTGAGATAATGTTAAAAATGCGACAGCAATCATACAAGCGTTCATTTTCTAGATAATTTTTAGTTTCACTTACCGTTAACCCAAGTACAAAATTTCTTCTCCAATAAGGTCATTTATCATACGTATAGAATACTGGCACACTAAAATGGAATTCAAAATCAAGATAATGAATGATAAAAGCTGACTGTTATTTAAACAAAGATCTTTTTAATGAGTATTGAGAATGTATCATATCAATGTCAAACTGGTAACATATTTTAAACTACTTTGTGATGAAATTCGAACTTTCGTCGAAACTTCGAAGAATATCGCTTGGAAATTTAGAATATTGATAAGCATCTCAATCGCCATTTAAATTGTTCCACTCAATAACTCAGGGAGATAAAAGGTTTTCATCCTAAGTTGAAATCTATTCCATTAAATGCAAATATATAATTGAAACAAATAAAGAATCTTCTACCTTGCTGTAACTAATTGTGTCAAACAATGCCGTGATTTCATCTGGTGTGTTTGCTTCTTGAACTAGCGGGTGAGAAGAAGTGAGAGCGTTAATATCAAAAGCTGAATGAAGTTCATCGAGAAGAAATCTATCTTTCTGGAAAACAAAACGAATAGCAAGAATGATACAGCGGTATAAAGTATATACAACTTAATAAACAGTGTAACTTGCAAAAGATTTTTATATAGAAAATAAATTGACTGACATAATAGCATGTACATCTGATGATCATCAGTTTCTCATAAGACCATACTTCATTTATTATTCATTTTGAATCTCCGTACTTTAGTGAGGGTTTCTCAACCGTGATGGGAGATGGAGGTTTGTATGTAAAGGACTATATTTTCACTAGACCCGCTAGGACTCTGTCTGTTTTTACTTCATGTGGAAACGTATTTTGTTCATTCCGACAAGAATCAACTATTAATTAAATTCATCTAATTAAACAATTTTGGTTGACAAAAAGACAACTTCAGTTGAAAAATTTTAACGGCAGTTTCCAGTGGTTGTTCTTTCGCTATATACATGAATGTATTTGTGTATTCTCATGCAAAATTGTATATATATTACCGACTTCCATGTTGGCTGAACTTCAGATTCTCCTAAATACGATACGTAGGTAGCAAAACCTTCATTGAGCCAAGCATCATTCCACCATGAAAGAGTAACAAGATTTTCGAACCACTGAAATTGTATAAATATTACTCTGATGTGATAATTGATTCACTGACATTGTCGGACTCGTTCGTATATTTTTGGGCTAATGTTCACCGCCAACGTCCATTTGCAGTCGATATACAGGTACATTGTGTTAACATTGAGGTAATTAAACTGATATACAGACAATACAGTACTGTTTTTTGAGGTTGCTCAACGTTTCTAGTTGTGGGGTTGCGAGTATCTGTGGGCTTTGATTCTTCGAAAATTGGGGTCGCGAACAAAAAATGTTTGGGGAACCACTGGGTTAAAGTATTCAAAAATAGGTTTATATATTATATGCAATTGTATGTTACCAAATTTAAAAAGGTATATATAGCATACTAAAATATTAATTCCCGATGTTATACATGTATATATTCATTTTAACATGCTTTATGACATATGTGTTCTGTAATACAAAGACCGCACAAACTTTCAGCGAAAGAAACATCATCATATCTTTTTCAAAAAATAGTTCCATAACTTACCTTCAAGCATAACAACAACGACTGACATTATAATAACTTTGGATCCTTCAACATGGAACTCGTTCTTTGTTGGCATTTTGTTTTTGTATGCTTGGATAACTATTATGACTATATTAGTTGAAAATGTAAACTACAGCTAGCAATGCAACGATAGAAGTTCAACTGCAATAAATTTACACTGACTAACTCAACACTTCCTACGACACATCAATGTTTGGCGAAAAGGACTATTCTTGAAAAAATTACTCTTCGAGTACAAACCATTGACAGACGACAGTGTTAAGTATAGGTTCAAAATCTAATTTCACACAGCAGGCAAAAACATTCCACCAGCATGAAGCATTTTCATACTTTTCTAATGTTGGAATACGACATTAGATAGATCTTAATTGAGCATAACTTCTAAATCAGTGGTTCTCAACCCGGGGTCCGCGGACCCCCGGTGGTTCACGAAGCATTTCCAGGGGTCCGCGATTAAATTAAGATTGCAGGAAATTATTTGCAGTTTAATATCGTTTTTTTTTGTGATACGATCGAACATTTGCTGCCTATGACGATGTGACAATGGCCTACAAACTATTTTGATTTATCTCCCGTAGACCTATTGTGACAAATACCAGGTTTTTACATGACAATGATAATACGAGAACGCAACTACAGTGATCACTTTCTCAGTTTTGGTGCGCCATTTTGCCGTCGTACCCAAAAGTATCGATGGAAGCATCACGTGTTATTGTTCCATTCTCCCTTCCACATACCTTTGTGAAAGTGGATTTTCGGCTCTCGTTCATATCAAATCCAAGGCTCGTAACCAACTAAACATCGACGACGTTATGCGTCTATCGTTATCAAAAACAAGAACACGTATTTCAAGACTTGCTTTTGATATACAACAGCAGAAATCCCTTTAAGTGTATTCGATTTGACAAAATAAATGAAAATGTCCACTAGTTTAGTGTTATTTTGGACTTGGTTAAATCTGTATGGAACATTAGGTTGCTGTTTTGATGGGTCCGCGACCGCTTTGAGAACACCAGAAGGGTCCGCAAAGACAACAAGGTTGAGAACCACTGTTCTAAATGATATAGTCAACGAATTTTCAAAACGTTTAGTGCCTGTCATCGAGAACAGAGGCACGGTAAACAACGATACACAGTGATTTGGAACTACTGTTTTGGCTAACGGACTGACTTGCACGTACTTAACTGTACGCAATGGTAGAGGCAAACGAGGCGAATGTTACAATACGGCGATCAACCAGCAAAGAGTCAATTGCCTAATCTATTAAATTTTTAAATACACAAACACATTATTCGCAATACAATATGTACATAGAGACTACTTGTCGAATTTGATATCGTCTTGATTGGCATCTTAAGAGTCAAAACTTCACACGCAAAATGTAAATAAAAACATGTAAACAGTAGGTCGTTAGCGAAATAGGCACCACGCAAATACTAAATGACAAAGATTGCCCTCGACTAATCTTTTAATCACCAACGATCTTTTGATCCTTTCTTCGTTGGTCGTATTTAAAAATGTATTAAATATATGCTTGATTCAATATTAGCAACCAAATTGCATGGCATTGCTAATCAATGGAACGTGCATGTTTTTTTAATGAACTTCCTATTGCTCGCGTCAAATGATATCTGACTGACCAATCTTAACCATTTGCTAACGCCACTGAAGCTCCAGGCACAAAAACTGTTGCTTGCGAATTTACTAATTTAGTGTTGTGCTCTCCACCAGGTCCCAGGAGACCTGAGGCTCATAGAAAACAACTGCTATAAGATGACGTGCGTTAGGCAAAAAAAAACGACACAACTTTCTTCTGGTATCCATACTGCCAGCTAGCAATTTGTTCATTCCAATGATATTTAGCTGTTTTTACAGGCTAACATATTCATACAGGCTGTTTCTCCAATTTTCACGCGCTGAAAGCTTACGAAGTTAAAAGTATGGAACAGTGAAGTCAATTCAAAATTGTACATACGTACCAACATTTGAGGAATTTGGTGAGTGCGATGAATGCTGTACAAAGATCACGTATATATGTCTGAGGTAGGCAACCGTCAATCAACTAAGTTAACGATGCGAGTCCCGCCTTTCTGCATATTTCACGTCGTCGACTAAATTTTATGATTACTATGTTACCAGCTGACTATTAAAAGTAAGCAATATTAGGTTCCACAGTTGAAAATTCGAAACTGCCCTCTCAATCTGGTCTCTAACTATTTTGCCATTTATTGAGAGGTTTTTCATTTGGCATATAACGATACAACCAACTGTTCTCAGCCTAATGAAGGGTTTGATTCCCAACTAACCTGTGTCATTTGCGCTGATTATTGTCTACATTTTGTAATAAGAACATAGTGTTATATTCATGTTCTGCATAGTTTGGTTTCTCACTGTGTAACTGCCAAAAGCCTAAAATTCCAATCTGAATAATATAATTCGAAGTTTCGTGTTTCCATGACTCTCTCATCCATTTTTGTGTGTCGAAGCTGAGATTGAAATACATCGCCCTGTAAACTTAGTCTTAGTCACTATTGGAATTATTTTTGGAAAGCAAAATAAACAAAATTCCTATTCATTCTAGTGCATATTTATTATTCACAAATTAAAAAGTATCTCAAATTATACTGTAAAGAGTTTTTATATAATCCCAGCTAGTTTTTTTTTTTAAATCATGAAACGTTAGTAGTCAGCCAAGCAGTAATTTTTTCTTCGTTGATTGCTCTCCAAGCTATGTTTAGTTTTGTTCTTTCTATTGCTCGATTAATATACCGATAAGCTGGTCCCAGTTTATTCTTCCCGTTTCTGAAATTCTCCAGCTAAAACATGGAAAATATCAATTCAAAATATGTGTTTGACAGTAATGACAGTAGAGGAATACTCCATTGCAAAATTATATTGTATAAAAAAAACATTTATTCAAAATATTTCACTCACCAACTGTAAATCATATTCTGTCGAAAGTCGATTAGAAATTGAATAAATCAATCTCGAAAAACGCCAAGAACCACCATGCCTATCATAGAAAAAGGGTAATACATTTTCACTAACACTTCTTCGAATGATAATGTTTTCTGCTACACTCACAATAATTTTAAAAATATACATATATAATTTATATTTTTTTATTCGGTATTGTTTATTATTTTATGTTAGACAGTAGAAATCAGTATTTTCATTAGTACTATATTTGAACTAACTAATGAGAAATCTTGGTGCAAAATTTGTTTCTGCTCTTATTTTTTGCCTATTTTCTGTTTTCAATAATTAGTCATAGCAATATGCAACTATTTTCTCTATTGATTTTTATTGATTACTTTTCCTCGTGTACTTACACATCAACAAGAGCATCCCAGTTTTCCACCAAGAAACCCCATGCTAAATCTCTTCCGTAATCTTCCCCTCCAATATAATTCATACAACTTTTGAAAGTATCTTGTCTTCTGATGACAGTGGGGTCAACACAGTATTTCATATATCGTGTTAGAATCCAGGGTTCTTTACTACATGACATTCCGTACCTATCATTAAGCATGATTTTAATATTTAGGACATCAAATTTTACCAATAAATAAGAAACTCACAAACCAGACTTCATTATTTTTTTTTTAAATGCAGTACTTGATAAAAAATTAAAATATTTTTCAATTTGCCTCTGCAAAATATTACTTTATCATGCTCTGAGGTAGAAGATTTTGTCTTAATTGTTACATTTATTTAATGGAGAACCATCCTACCGCAAGCTTTTTTGCTCCTGTGCATTTGTTGATTCGCCATGACGCCGCCATGCAAAATTCCATTCTTCGACTCCTCCGTTACGGATCGCTGCACAGTATACGTCATCGCGATAGGTACTGCTGATTATGCTGCAAAATATAATTACAGTATATTAATACTAAATTTCCTTTATGTCATCGAGCTGAGTACCAATATTATAGGACTATTTGCACTGAAAAATATTCACCTGTTGTTTTCCGGATTTTGCATCCATTGCTTGAATAAAGCCTTAGCTCGAATGATGCAATCTTCATTTCCATAATAACAAGACGAACCAATTGTCAACTTCATGTTACGTCTGAATTAAAAGTACAAGTCGACTATTTTCATTTTTAATGGAATCTTAAAAATTACAAAAATCGGTTATTTTAGCAGATTTGTGATCTAGATTTCGACTGTTTCCATTGGTGATTGAGACACGTGTTTTTTCTATTAGAAAACGATTTCTAAAGTTCGGCTGCTTATCACCTGCTTATGAGAGCGGCATCACTTTTATCTTTTTCTTCCCATCCAAGCATTTGATATAATGGATCAACGAGTTGAACAACGTGTTTCTAAAACATAAAAAAATGCACAAAATCGAGTTGGGGTTAACGTTATTGCATGAATTACAGAACATACCATTTTAAAGGAGTTCCAGAAGTATGTGCACCAAGATGTCGCACAACCTGAACGTAGTATGTGTACCGGGTTAGGGTTCAGGTAGTGCGCCATCTTGGAGTACAACCATTTTAAAACGGCGAACCATTTTTGAATAAAAACGAAATAAGCTATGATAAAATATCGATAAAAATATATCGACCACAGTTTATAGTACAGGTTGAGTTAATTTGTGAATCTAAATTTATGGAACGTGATGGCTAATTTTATGCATGCATCACCAAAATTCGAAAATGAGGTCATTTTAAAATAGCGATTTATTTAACTATAATTTATAGTTTTCATGATCACCAAAATTATTTATCTGAAAATGTTGAAGAATACGATTCTTACCGATAGTTGCCCAAAAGCAGGAGTTCGACCTAGCATGTATTCTAAAAATTTCATTTTTTGCATAAAAACTTTCCATGGAACAAATTCTTGTTCTTGAATCATATACTTTGAGAGATTCATTCCATATGTTATATCCAAGCGCCCAGGCCTGAAAACAAAGGATCACTCTCACTAATTCTCTATTTACCTATAACACATTGTAAAAATGAGAATTATACCACACAACTAAATAGTCTTGCTCTTGTTTACCTGGCCAAATTGAAAACATCGCTCATCATCTGTGCACGACTTCGTTCTGGTATTTCCTGTGATATATATTCAATTATTAATCATAAATTAACCTAACGGATTTTGCATGAAAAATAAAGAATCTGTATTATAGATTGACCAAAAAACTAGCTTTAACACTTACTTCGAAAGATGCAGAGACAAGTTTTGCAATGATTTTATTCCACGTGTCCTCATCATAATTCACTCGATAAAATCCAAAAGCATTAATATTCGCCAAAATAAACTCACTTTCAGTGATTTCCACTAAATAAATATAAATCAATTTAAAATAGGATTTTAATTGTAATCTTATCCGAACAATACAACAAATAAAATATATTATCGAAATTGAAGAAGTAAGGAAAGTTCCAAAAATGATAAGAAAAGAATATACTCACATGGTGGTTGATTTGGTTCCAACCAAGTTTCTTCCATGTTGTCTGTTCCAATTTGATTGAAAGTTTTATAAGTGAAAGGGATATACCACTTATATCTGAAACGGTAAGTTTTAAACTGAAAACCACAAAAAATCGCTTCAGTGCATGAATTCATATCATCAGTCGATATTAATGAAAAATGGGGCAAAATAGGGTCGCGTATAACAAGTATTTGGATCACGAGCATTGACCAGAAATTCAATTTTCAAAACTGGTTATAATAATCTTTTAAACTTTTTAAATCAGGATAAAAAATAATACTAAAAAAATAAGTACTAAATAATCGCGTCCAATCTCAAACATGGTAGTTAATTTGCTTTAATAAGATTCACTTAAAATCGATAGCGGTATATTCAAATAATTTACAAAAATTATACCCTTACTAACCCATATGTTTCACTTCCTGGCGTATGTACTACAGTTGCATTGTTATCGAATAAGAAATACTCTTGTGTGACTTGATACGTGTTAGTTGTCGTCTTTCGGACATTAACAACAGGATGTCCCATTTGCAATGTCCATGTCTCTAATATGATGGTCAGTGTGGTAGGGAACTTAAGACCTGCTATATCTGCTTGCTGTAACATTGTTTAAAAAAAAATTTCGATTACATACAATAAATTTATCACTATAATGATCTAGTGACGTTTAGAAAAAAAAAATAAAAAAATCTTTCGTAAAAGTATAAGATATGTGTACATTCAAGTTACTCTTATTCAACTCACTTCTTGCCAAAATCTGAAAAGATCACCATGTGTTGCAGCTTGGTAGGCGAGTTCGTTGAGATAATTCTGAAATACAGATGAAATTGTGTAAACTTACTGTTCGGGACATTACACATCCAATATAAAAGTACACTACCGTAAGTCCAGTAACAAAATTTTCTTCTCCCATGAAAGAATTTATCATACGAAGTATACTTGCTCCCTGTTTTGCAAAATGAATGTAAACTGTTATGTTATATATCACAATAGATGACATCATTATCACAACATAAATTGAATCCACAATATCCAAATGACATACACACGTTTTATGTAACATTTATTTAGTTATAAATTAGTGAATGACGAATTTATTGTTAGTGATAATACAAAAAGTGCAGCATGCTCATTGCTAGTTAAACATTAAAACTTTCCGAGTTATAACTGTTACAAAAACTGTGTACAGTTGTTCAATATCGATGCAAGTCATGTGAGACAACAAACCAGACTGATGCAAAATGTATGAACCCCAAACGCAGCAAAGGAAAAGCTCATGAAATTTTAGCACGTTGGTTATTATGTTGTCACTTTCACACATACCTTTTCATAACTAATGTGGTCAAATTGAGCTGATATTTTGGCCAAACTATTAACTGGAGAAACTAGAGGATGAGACGATACTACTGCATCTACATCAAGTGCAATTTGCATATCATCAGAAACAAACAGCTCATTCTGAAATGGATGAATCAAATGTTCATATTTGCTACGATACAAGTGATTGTGAGCTAATCATAAACTAACCAGTGAAAGATATTTTTAATTCTTGATGTTTGTTTTAATTGCTGGAATATACTTACCGCTTTCCACGCAGGTTGTACATTCACCTGACCGATATATTCCAAATAAGAAGCAAAGCCTTCGTTCAACCAAATATCATCCCACCATACGGGACTAACAAGATTACCAAACCACTGAAAAAAATGAATCATACATATTACAATCATACATATTAAAATCAATTTTTTATTTATATCATAGTATGCTGATAAACGAGGATAAGATAGGTTCATGAATTAAAAAAGGCTGCTTTCCCAAGCGTAGTTGAGGATTTAAATCTGCAGTGACTGTAAACTGAAAACATCTTCAAGGAATCACGCAATATTGAGTGATAGCCTACATATAGATTATATAGCGTGTCGTATATTAACCCGAAATTTAACTCTAATTAACTTAGAAGCTAGAGAAGTTATCTAAAATATGCAATTATCTGAATACACACATATATCCGAAGCAATATATTTTCTTGGGGCTGTTGTTGGGTAAAATTTACCCAAGTGAGTTCAAACCTAGGTAACCATTTATAGTTGCCACAACACATAATGTGAGTGAAGATGATAATGGTTTTATTTCAAACCTGGTGGCCAATTTCATGACTAATGATTCGTGTGACAGTTTGTTTGTCAAAAACTGACGACGTTTCTTCATCATAAAGAAGATAAACATCCCGATATAAAACAAGTCCCCAATTTTCCATGGCACCAGCTCCAAAATCAGGGGCCGCTGCTTGATCTTGAAAAATATACATGTATTCTGACTTATCTGTACTAAAATATTCCAGCAGCCGAACTATGTCTAATTTCTTAAAATGCCGTTTGTACTAGTAAGTTTAGTTTGGGATTAGAAAAATTGCTATATGTGATATAGGATACAACATAGTTCCATTTGTAAAGCAAACTATCATCATAAAAATCAGTTTATCGTAAAAAAGCTTGTCCGCTAAAATATGAAATTTATTAACGGAACATGGTCCGTCTACTTACATGGATACAAAGATCATTAATATAACCATAAAAATAATAATATAACAGAGACAACAAGGTTCCTCGGATGCGATGGGAAGTTTTAAAGATATGATATTTCTTTTTTAAGTTTTTACTCGTTGATGAAAGCACTCCGGTTTTCAGAATTTGGTAATTACTATAATATATTTCTCACCAGATTTAGGCAGAGGGTAGGGAACAGAAAAGTAGTCTTGGAAAAATTCAAGAATTCTCGGTGTAATTATTGAGGCATATTCAGCTTCACCATTGTCTACAGCTGCGGGTCTTGCATATGTTCTTGTCTGTTACAGCATAAATGAATAAGTCATATTACTAGATTACTCTATTCCGTGCCATATGTACATAAACCCTTGATTCAGGGAGAAAATAAATAACTGATTTTATCAGAAGCAATGACCATTCGTTTGCTTAGAATGGGCATCGTCGATTAATTTACCAGCAGGAGAAGAATGACACGGCTTGGCTAAGGTAAAGTTAATAGACAACCGGCCACGCCGGCCGATTTTCATCTTTCCAAATAATTTAAAGTAAAAGTAAATATATTTATAAGTATTCATTTTTATATATAACAAAGAATGGTGATGGAGCAAATAATTTGAGACAATTATCATTTGTAATATTAACACAAAAATCATGATAAATGAGACAACATAAGATAACATATATGTTATCGAACTCGGCTAATTTGTGAGAAACTAAAAACCGTGAGTTCAACTATTGTCTTCCGTTGGGTTCTAAAATCCATTATTAAGACGTTGTTGCAGTTGGCAACTTTAATACAATTAGAGAACCTTGTCCGTGGAGTTTCGAATGAGAAAGGAATCTAATTAAATGAACGAATGATTGCCGTAAAAGCAAGTATTCACCTTGACACCTGAGACGCTCTTCGTTTCAACGTACGAAAAGTCGCAGACCACAAGAGCAAGAAGATAAGTTGACATCGGAACTGTCTCAGCAAATGTTGTTGAATTCCATAGATCTCCATCGATTGTTTCCAACTGAAAATGGGACATTAGTATATGTTTAGAAACTATCAAACTCACTTTTTCAAGACTTGAGACGTCCTGTTTTGTGAGGCATGAAAGTAATTTTTGTGAAAAAATTGCATATACCAAAAACTTACCTTATGCGATAATTCAGGCATGTTTGACACCGCAAAATAACCAGAATTGGCTTTGTGCCACAAAGTAATGGTAAAATTAGCTTTAAATCCAGGTTCGTCAAAACACGGAAAAGTCTCACGAGCTCCTGTGGTCTCCATTTGGCTCACGGCCACTACCCTGCAAGTTGATAAATTTGTATCCCATATACGATATTGTATTAGTTAACTGTTTGTTATGAGAAATTTGTTGTTCGCTAATTGCAATAAAATATAATCTGAATAATCCATCCAAAAAAATGAAAAAAATTTAAAAATTTAGTATAATAAGAATTGCAAAATGAAATGGATTTTTAATCCATGCTTTTCAGTAAAATTTTGCATATATATATCGGTAGAAAATGCTGAGACATATAAATCTGTTTCGTTTTTAGGTCCAAATTACGTTTATCACACGCACAACAGTATATAATATTGCCAACTCTATTCACGAACCTGAGTTCTCCAGCTGGGTTGTTATACTCACTACGGTATATTCCTCTTAGATCATCAGAAAGTTCTGACTCATAGTTTGTAACCGTCAGCGTGTAAATTTTACCAACTTCGCAAAGATTTTCACTTTCGAATACCATAAATTCATTTGGTTTATAATACATCATACTTTTCATTGGGATGTTATTTCCGTTCTCAGTCAAAGTAACTTGAGATTGTGTATAAATCAATTTTCTAAAATGCAAACACATTGTTTCAGCATATTATGGCAATGTTTAAGTTATTTATTATGAATGTGGCACTCTCTGTGTTGCAATTTTGATGATGATATCGTGTAACTTCGCAACTTCACAAAGATTTTCACTTTTGAATACCATGAATTCATTTGGTTTATAATACATCATACTTTTCATTGGGATGTTATTTCCGTTCTCAGTCAAAGTAACTTGAGATTGTGTATAAATCAATTTTCTAAAATGCAAACACATTGTTTCGGCATATTATGGCAATGTTAAGTTATTTATTATGAATGTGCCACTATCTGTGTTGCAATTTTGATGATGATATCGTGTAAGAAAAATTAAGCGGATATTGATACCATCAAAACAAGATAGACAATGGTTAAAGTATAGATTTTAACCATGTTGACAACGAAAAAAAATGTTAGTGAAAAGAATATACGAATGTAAGCAGCGCTCATTCGACTTTTTGAGCTTTGCTCTTGCACAGACAGAAAACGTAAGTCATAGTCTACATAAATGCAAAGATAAAATATAATAAACGTGCAAGCTTTGTTTTTGTTCATACCTGCTATGCAAAATGATGTATTTCGTTGCTGTTTCACAGCTAAACGTTACGCTCGATGTTCCATAAAACATATATTTTCCATCAGCATTCATTTCGAGTACAGGGCGAATATCAATATTATATGAGATAGGTAAATGATCGTGCGAAATTCTAAACGCTGTCCAAGGACCCTGTAGGAACACAGTGTTCATAAAAAAATTAGCATTGTGTCACCAAAGCTGCAATCATGCTCAAGGTGCTTAAGAATATTGTTATTTAAATTATGGAAGAACCTCGTTTCGAAACGATGATTCAAAAATTGAAAATTTCTATGAGACATATATATAATTGCATTAATCACGTGCAGCGAGATTGAATATGTTACCGCAGGAAATAATTACTATTGTTACCCGAAGACTTACCGTCGGTGCTTCTGTAATAGGAGTTGATGCAGTTGATGACTTTGTGGTGGTACATTTAGTCGTCGTTTCATCCTGAACTACTACGTTACACGTAGGTCGAGCAACCAATCCAATGAGCAAACCTTTGAAAAAAATCGAAACTTTGCTTTAACTGTATATCAGTGTTATTTTAGTGATTTGCGCAGAACTAAGGCTAAAATGACCTAACAGCAAGATTAAATTTAGTTTGTAGAACTATTTCTCGTGTATACTGACTACATTTTCAGAGATATTCCATCGTGAAAAAATCTGAAATATATTGATATATCAAACAAGGCATTCTCAGTAACAGACAATCTACGAAACTGAATTGCAGCGGCTGAAGACAGGTACATTATGTTGATCATATTTATTTGAAAATCTATCATTGTATTTTAACTGCAATTATATATATATATATATTGTACCTCACATCTTCTCTGGCGCACAGGGCTCTGTGGGACTGACCATACAGCAGGTAAACCTCGACTTACATTTCATTCAATCTTAGATAATGTAGGTGATTTGGTAATAGTCGACAGACCATTCATCCTTAGTTTTTTCTTTCAAGTAATATCAATGAAAAAGGGCAAACTCACCTTCTATAAGAAGAAGAAGTGCTACAACAACAACTAGAATTATTATTCGTGATTTACTCAAATTAAACCCGCTATCTCCCATTGTATATATCAGGCTTCCGACCGTTATCGACTAAAATATTCAAAATAGATCGCGATTGACTGATTGGGCATCGAATGTGCAGATAACTGTACAAACGCATACAAAAAATTCGCAAAATCGACACAAAATTTGTATTTTTTTGCTCCATTCAAGTTGTTGATTTGAATATTTATTTGTACCCGGAGTGAATGTTTCATTATTTATTCAAGATTTATTTAAATCATACAATTCAGATAAAGGACGTGCCTAATTTTTAGTCGTAAGTGTTGAAAATTCTTCAAGAAACCTTGTAAGTATTATCCAAACAGCGAAAAATGAATATTCTCAAACCATGAATGTTACGTGACTGTTCAAACTTCAGTATCTAATTTACAATATCCTCCAAACGTGATTCTTCGCTTGCTTAGAATTAGAACAAATTGGGCATTTTGATGACACTGCTATACCATTAGGGCGGATAAATGTACATGTTTCTGCTTTAACTTGCGATATATTTACCTCAGAAAATTCTCCCGATATTTTGCTATTGAAATTTTTTTTAAGATTGGTTTGAAGTGTTGGCGATTATAAACTGGTTCACATGTTTAAAGGCATCGTTTTTACTAGAATTATTTAATCACGTGCCGCTTGCACAGATAGTCGGAAGGCAAATGACAATTCCTGAATTATGGCAAACAACTCTTTTTTGAAAACATAACTGACAAATAACACTGTAACACGCAAAACTATGAAAACGAAGCCTGTTTGAACATCTGTCTGAGCGGCTACAAAAACTGCAATTGTTATGTCATTCTAAGTGATTCAATAGTCTTGCGGCACACGAACACAAATATATTTTTGTAACGTTTCGTCTGACCAATGTCAGACTTCCTCATAGTTCAACCGAATCGATAGCACATGTTATGTCATTGTTGGTTTCTTTTTGATTGATTGTGGTTAACAAAAAATCTAAATGTTGAGTAGCTGAGCTTGCTATTGTTGCACAATAAATACCGGTATTGTATTTTAAATCAGTGGTCGGCAGCCACCGTGCCGCGGCCCATCGCCGGTCCGCGGAAAGGTTACTGCCGGTCCGCAAAGAGGTGACACAAAAACGGACAAGGCCGTTATAAAACTTCTACGATCTAACCACAAACCCTACGACTATAAACAGCACCCAACACAACAGTAAACCAGACAAACACAACGCCAGGGGTCGGCAGAACTGCGGACCATGAGCTAATTTGTTGCGGCCCTCGATCGACCCGACATTTAATACATAAAACCAAATATGATTCTGAATTTATTATTGTCTCTACACGGATTTATGTGGTAACAAGTGCTGATGTACGGTGCTTGTTTTGTAATAGGTAGCGATGGTTGTATACCGTTCGAGTTAATTTTGATTTTTAAAAATTAAAAATGTCCGGGAAACGGAGCGACGAGGGTCGAGCATTCCAAAGTGCTTGGACGGAAAAATATTTTTCCTTCTCGTGCATTCCAAAACCGGTTTGCTCGATATGTCCAGTCAGCATCGCAGTTGTCAGGGTTTTAATTTAAATTCGTTACGGAACAAGTCGTCGAATTCGACCCCGAGACCCGGGACTGCGTCACAGCATATCTGTGCGCTAGTGCAAAAGGTGTAATGTGTCGGAAGAATATATGGCCTTGAGCAGCTTTATCTAAAATGCATTACACTTAGAATAAGTTTTGTACTCGCCTGTCAGAGCATCATTTGGACGACAATTGCCATAAAAACATCATCTTTAACATTGATAATAAGTAAATAAAAACAATGTATTGTTGGATAATATATTAAAAAACGCCACATACACATCCCATTGTGGCATCCCATTGTGGCGTTACACACAGCAATACAAGGGTAACAATGCGAATGCGCCATTGAAGTTAATTAATGTAGCGATTGTTCGAAGGCGGAAATAGAAATATTGCGGCCCGCGCGTTACCGGAAATGTGTATATTTGGCCCGCAAGTACATGAAGTTTGCCGACCACTGCACAACACTATTGAGCGGCATATCTGACTTCATAAACAATTGTCATGTCAGTATGTCGCAATAATGCTGGGTCAATTATTTTCTCTACGCCCGTATAAGAATGCCTCTCATCAGTCCGAATAAGATCTTGAGACGACTTCTGTTGTAGTTGCTAATTAGGCTAATTAAACTAGCTAGATATTAATCTGACTCCAAACAGAATATAATCGGTTGTTACTTGTTCAAGTCGAGACGTCTGTTGATTTGATATAACAGCAAGGAGCTAGACAATTGCCGGTATAGATTTTATTTCCTTCGATAAATATATTACAATAAATTAAATCAAATAAACCAACTTACAATTTCAAGTTATTATTCATAACAGTAGCGTAGCGATCATCAGAATTATTGATATTTGACGAAAAGGATGACGATAAGGACGACGACCGCTTGAAATGTTTGAGATCGCATTTAAAGGGATACACAATTTTCTCGATTATTCGAGACCGTTCTTACACTGATTATTCATGTAAAACAAGGTCATTCAACATATCCCATGGGAAATTATTCGTTATTTTGCACGTTATGTTGAAATATCATATTTAGAATGTTCTTGAATATTCTCCAATATTTATGACTTAGGAATTATTTTTAGTCTTGATGTCATTATTTCCAAAATTATTGGTTAAATTTGTTACAATCTCCCCAACAAAATGATACAGGAATTGTTAACTTTCCCAAAATCTTATCAATATGAGGCCTGGTTTTCAACATTGATAACTACAAAAACGAAATATCGAAGTAGGGTGGATGTAAGAAACACGTTACGTGTGTCAATGTCGACCATATCTCGAATATGGGAACAGTTAATGGCCGTCAAACAAATACAGATATCGCGTTAATAGCATCACCGTCGTTTTTAGTATATTGTCAACATAAATTTCATAATGCGTTTAATGTATTGCATAGGCTTAGTTCGTTTGTATAAAGGTGGTCCGCCAAGATTTCGGTCAGGCTTTACCGTCCATCACTTGAAAAAGGTTGCCGACCACTGTTTTAAATGATTTTATTAATAGACAGTAGAATGAACATTAAAAAAGCCAAGAAAAAGCCAAACGGAAATTCTGACGCCAAACGTGTTTCAAAAAAGCCAAGATCGTGAAATTTGGCGTTAAAAAAAGCCAATATGGCAACCTTGGCTATAGTCTAGACCAGGGGTGCACAACACGAGGCACGCGTGCCAAATTTGGCTCGCCATACGCTCAAACGTGGCACGCGAACGGTTTCGTAAAAACTATGATATACATTAAAATTTCACGTTCACATCAAAATCAGCAGTTTTTCAGGATATTAAATTGTTTCAATAAATAGATATTCGTTATTATGTATTATTATTGAAATCTGTTTGATGTGTGTTTTACGGCAGTTCATTTACACAGGTTGTTTCCCCGAGCATCGACTTCTTTGTTTACTCCGTGACATTGGCCAATCAGCAAGATGCAAGAAGTGACGCTCTGACACTTTACTCGCTTAGACAGATTTTAAGGCGTGGTCGTAAACATTACCTCGTTTTCGCGTTTTTGAATTATATTCGTTAGTTTTCAGTTGTGTTTCGGATATGTAAACATATATGAAATAGTTCAATGATCACTTTGTCTTCTTAGGAGTTTCATTTTAATTGCAGTAATCAAAAATTATTGTGGATATATATATATAGCTGTGATAGACTAAGCTAAAATTTTTTACCGGTACTTTTAAAAAACAGATTGTTGAATGCTATGAATCAGAATGATAGCTTGAAACGAATATCCCATTTTACAGGCGCCAACTCGCGTAACCACTCCTAAAATAAGCACCGAAAATTTTGCAATGTTAAAGTATAGGAAGAATTTTACGGGGGTCAGAGGTCGGGGAAAGGTCTATACCAACGATTGTGCGTGGCACGCGACAAGAATATTTTGAAATATTTGGCACGTGTCCTCATTTGAGTTGTGCACCCCTGGTCTAGACACGCGATATTCTGCACTTCATTTTTAAACCTTGGCAGCGGAAAAACTTGCATTTGTTACGTGATAATATGCGTTATCGGGCTTGCCCAGACTCAAATACTGTATGTGTATATTGTATTTTGCGCATGTTAAATACTGTATTCTCCCTGTTACAAAACACACAACTGTTTCGAGACAATTTTTGGGGGTATTTCAATAAAAATCACATCAGACGCGATCGACTGCTCGAGACGTATTGATCGACCAATCAATCGCGATCGACGTGTTGGCCAGGGGTGGCCATCGAATCATGCCCAAATGTCGAGGCGCAGTTCTTACCACTTCATGGCAGCTCCTGCCACGAACGAACCGCGGCAGCTCTTGCCATGGTTTTATAGCGCTATTCAGTAATCAGTATTAACGGTATATTCACAAATTAATGTACCAGATTTTAATTGATCATGCGGAATTATATCTACTTGAACCCTAACCCTAACCCCAAATCCACCCAAACTGTATCCATAAGAAAAACGTTCCAACTTACCCAATATTTGTCACCATAAGGGACAGCACTGTCTTTACGGCCCACCTGCCGTGGTTACGGCAGCAAAATTTTACCTGCCATTGGTTTTTAATTTGCTGCCGCGGTAACGGCAGCTTGTCATTGGTTTGTGGCAGCTAAAAAGTCAGTCGCCATAGGTTTGGCCGTAGCGGCCTTGGTATGGAAATACCGCCATGGTTTTGCGGCAGCTGCAGACGCCACAGAATACTTAAAACTGCACTTGCAAATGTCGCATCAAAATGTCATTTCTATTTCTAACCGAAATGAATATATTTCTAGTCGCCCGTACCACGTAAGATTCTTAAGTGTATCTTTAGTGAATAAATGAATGATTCACGATAATTTGTATTTAGACATCAAGATCCAGCGACCAACATCAGGACGATAAGTATATATTGTCAAAAACGCGCTACACCCTTATATACATTACGGAAACAAGCAATATGTTATCATTATTACTTTATTATAGAAAACTTTATATCGGTATATATGTTTTGCATATTCAAACACATTTAGTTTATCAAAAAAACGTTTTGTTTTGTACCACTTTTTTCATACAAAATATGTTTTGTTCTTCTTAGCAAACGTTAAGTGGTTGTGTAATATATATAGACTTAGCGATGTTAGGGATCAGTTTTTGTAGATGGTTCTTCTTCAGCATCTCGATTTTTAGTAAACTTCGTTGCTATTTCGAATCTTCTGTAGACAGACGATGTGCACGAGAGAAGCAGAACCGATAATCCATTTGCTATTATGGGAACAAAAATTGCAGATGTTTCGTTATATCATTCCATGAGAAATCGTTCCAAAGATACCATGATGACTGTGACCAGTTGCGACGGAATATTATATAAAGCCATAACAACAACATTTTTTGTAGGATATGTTACCTCCAAAAGATATTCGCCAGGACAAACAGCTGTAGTTCCTCGTATTCCAGTTACTACAATGTAAAATATCGCGACTGTATAAAGATCCTTGAACAGATGACCAAAGTATACAGACACAGAAGAAACGAATAAACCCGTAAATATTGCAAACAAAATTAAAGCCATGATTACAATGCGTTTCAATTATAACCTGAATCATCATAATCCTAATATACCATGTATTGTAAACAACAAAGACGCTGAACTATATATACATAAACTATATATATATTTGGCAAATTGAATATCAACATCATATTCTTAAAATTTAGAAAATGGGAGACAATTCATATAAAATAATAGTTTACTTGCCCGCAATGCACATTCCTCTGTAGTGTCCGTATCTGTCCAGGTAGGTACCTTCCCACTAGTATGGATGGAATAGATGCTAAAATTGTTCCCATTGTTCTTACATTTCCACCGAACTGGAATCAGGAAAAGTGCGTGAAAGCATTGACAATACAAGAATGATTGTCAAACCAAAAACTGAAAATTGAAAACTTCTAAGAATTGTATTTATCGCTCGAGTTTAAAGATGAATCTCGAACAACTCTAAGATTTCCAATGATGTCGATAGTTTGCATACTGCTTACCTCTTCGCTTTCCAACAACGCCTGTTGTGATGCATATGGGGGGGGGGGGGGGGTGATCGGCAATGTGTACAGCCATCCAACCACACGTGAGAATAATAACAGGACGAATATAAGACCAAAACTTGTAAAATATGTGTTTCGTATTGAAGCCAAAGGCAACAGTGGCATCTGAAGTGTTTTGGGAGCACATAACGAAAATAGAGTGCAGATAATGTACCACCTGTCCTAGATTGTCTGCTGTCCAAGCAATTCGAGTGGGGTTGGTAACGTGATATACATATACAGCCGAAAATATACATATAGCGCCAACTAAATATACATATAGCGCCAACTAAAGATCCATATACAGCCAAGGTCATATCCAGATACAGCCAATTAATATCCAAATACAGCCATTTTGGTGATGTACAAATACTGCCAAGTCATATGCATGTACAGCCAATTAGATATACATATGATATAATAAATGTGTTAGGATTAGGGTTTCAAAAATAACACTCAGAAACTCCAAAACGGCTTTTGTTGAAGTTACTTACGATAAGTGTAAAATATATGTAATAATATATTGTGATATTAGCATCATTTAGTCTCTAGGAACAAGTAAGTCTCTACTTGTTATTTGTTCGAAGCGTACAATGTCAGCCTCTCGTGGTACGTTGTTTACAATTTTAACGTACATTTTGCCTCTGTGTGCAGTGAGTGCATCGTGCGCTGCCTTGTAACCAATCATTGTAGACCCATTATTACCTTTTTTCCATTTGCTTGTAGCGTAAATTAGTAATTTTATCTGTTTTCTGGTTTAGCGTTTTCCTTTCGGTCATTTTCGCATCACGTATCACGTATGATTGCATGTGTATTATTTGTGGATGAAGGGGCTGAGAGTGGCGCGTTCGATACGTTTTCATTGTGTCTCGTCTATATAAATTCCGGGCTATCAAAAGACGTGACACGTGGTGCATGAATACATACAATAGGTTGCAATCCATAATGCCATAAGATAGAGCCTCACAACAGCTGATTGTGGAAACATGCGAAATGTGTCGCTGCCAACGACGACATTGAAAATCTCTTTTCAGTGAACTATTCTTTAGTTATTTTGTCAACGAACTAATCAATATAAAGTTTGGTGCAAACTATCATTACTCACATTACATATTGCCAGCATCGCCATCGACATATTTCCATATTGCCAGCATCGCCAGATTATTTTTATAGGATGAGACCATACTCGTTGACGCATTGGAATATAGTGTGCTTATGCTTACAGAAACTCCTAAACGGTTATTGATTGAAATAGAAAAAAATGACTTGCAGCTAGCGTAAAGTAGATATAATAATGATAGGAACATCATTCCATGATATGAACATCATTCAGTAGTAAGACTTTACATTTTGCCTGTGCGTAATAAGACCTGAAGTTGCCGGTGCATGTGGTTAAGAAAGAAATTAAATTATTGTTAGGCTTTCAGTTTGTTAAATTAAAAAAAACGGAAAAACTGGAAATGTCATTTAATATATGCAAAGACCAGAAAAATATGGAAATACTATTGACATGAGAATG